CGTGATCTCACAGCTCGTGAGTTCGAGCCCCACGTCAGGCTCTGTGCTGACAGCTCAGAGCCTGGAGCCTGCTTCTGCTTCTGTGTCTCCCTCTCTCTCTGCCCCCAACCCACTTGTATTCTGTCTCTGTCTCTCTCAAAAATAAATAAACATTTAGGAAAAAAAAATTTTTTAATAAAAAAAAATTTAAACGAGGAGTTCTTTATGAGATGAATAATTAAACCATTTTCATATTCAAAGCATTTACAGAATTAATAATCCCACAGTCCAATTTTAGGGCTTAGTAACACTCAGGCATTTTTAAAGGTATAATTACATTATCACTGAATTTTGGGTTCAAACGGTAGCAAACACAGATGACACCTAGACTATAAAGCGAGGGGAATACACATACCAAGTCATCTGGAGATTCTGCGTGTAGACCATCAACTATCACGTGATTTCCAGCGACTACAAAGTTTTGATGAATGTGTTCTGGCAAGAGATGCTTCTCAATCTTGTTGGGAAAGTTAGTTCCCGTGAGAAATGTATTACTCAAATCCAAGATTTTAACATTCAGGTCCACTGCTCTCTTACGCTACATGCGGAGGGAGTAAAAGTTAAAGGCATTTAAAGTAGTATTTCACAACTGACTTAACAGACCATCTATTAAGACAGTAAAGCAACATATTGAATAAGATACTAAATATATTAAATGAAATGAATATTGAGTATATTGCTTGTGCCATAAATATATAATATACTACGAACTATGTGAATTCTATTTTTGATATGTACTTAATATCTTAACAAAATGATTATCCTATGGTTTTTATAGTGTTTCTATGCTTAATATTTACGTACGTTCTAGAGCTCTGTTATGCCTAGGTTATATAATCTTTGCAATTCACAACATTAGGAGGTACACAATCCTTCCCTATCCCCCCCAAAACCTCTTAGTTAAGCGAATCAGAGAATAGCAGGAAGTTGAATCTAATCAATATGATACTTATAAGTGTTTGTGGGCTAAAAAGAGTAAGTATTTGAAGGACACATTTGGAAACATCCTCGATCCTAAAAGATTAGACAGAAAGGTCAAAGGGAAGGAAAGGAATTACTGTAAGTCTTCACAAGAGCGTAACGAGCATGCAGAGGGGGACACACGTTAGCAGTTCTGCCTCTGCACACACTTGATTAGCTAGAGAAGGCCAGCAGGGGTGGGGGGGGCAGAGCCAGACGGAGCCTGCAGGGCCGACTGTATCTTCCGGCTCCATGCCTGGCACCCGTCAGCCCGCCGAGCCCCTGACCATGATATTGGATGGTGTTGGCACACCTATGTGGGGTTTTTTCTTGCAGTCACGCCTTGAGGACATACAATCCCCTAAGAAAGCATGTATTAGCCGAGGGGTGACACAGATGTTTTGAATGAAACCTAACTACAGTGCACATAATCAGCCAGCTCTACTGGAGGACGAGGATGAATTTGCAGTTATTGTTCCTAGGAAACTAGACGGGCATGTGGACCTGTGAAAGGCTTCGGGTGAAATCAGATACACATCTTTCTGGGAAGGGGGTCAGTAGCTCTCAGCACATTCTGAACTGTACTATGACCCAAAAACATGGTTAAGCAGCACTAATTTTTTTTTTTAAAGGTATTTAAGAGGGGCGCCTGGGTGGCTCAATTGGTCGGGCTTCCAACTTCGGCTCAGGTCGTGATCTCGCGGCTTGTGAGTTCGAGCTCCACGTCGGGCTCTGTGCTGACAGCTCAGGGCCTGGAGCCTGCTTCGGATTCTGTGTCTCCCTCTTTCTCTCTACCCCTCTCCCACTCATGCTCTGTCTCTCTCTTCTCAAAAATAAATAAAAACATTTAAAAAAAATTTTTTTAAAAGGTATTTTAGATGGTGATGTACACTTGATAAGATGCTGGGGAAAAAGTTAAGTATATGTTAATAACCAAAAATTCTACAATATAGAAAATTCAAACTTCGTGGGAAAACTGAGTTTTCAGATACTTCAAGGTCTTTATTAGTCCCGATTTCCTGTTGCCTATTTTGTTTCTACTATGACCGTTTATCACCACCTAATGGTAATCATTGGAATAACCCAAAAAGGCAAAAGATGGGGAATAGCACTACAGTTCCAAAATGTTCCACAAAACCTTGACTATGAAAAAATAAAGCGATGAGATTATTTCAAAGAATTTACCACCTGTCAAAGTCCCCCTGGAATTAAAAACTGGGTTTCCTTCCTGCCCTCACCAATTTTCCAGGCATAGCATTTCATCATTCTGGGATAAAGATGCAGTATTCGCACTTCTAAGAATTCTAGGAGATTGTTGTGCTAAGTTATCAAATGATTGCTAAAAAATATATACATCCATTAATTTTAAACTTTTCAATTATATTCATGCGAGACCTTTACAATAAAATAAGAAATAATGTGGGAAGAATACAGAAAAAAATATACAGGCCTTTATAATCTGTACATTATATTGGTGGGTTTCTTTCAAGATCTCTCTTTTAAAAAGGGTAACGTGTCTCCTCTTACCTGTCTTAGTGACGCACCTTTGAGAACAGACAGAAATTATAAGAGAGGAGTTCAGCAGGTTTACGTGACTTGCATGTTTAATGCTCATGAGTTCCCAGGGAGTTACGTGCCGGGCGGGGGGCAGCTACCCTTGTGAGAACACTCAAGACGTAAAAGCAACAAGTTCAATGCCGGCAAAACTGACCTTGACCTGACACCCAACGCTTCTGGGTAAAGTTTCAAAAACATGGTTCCTGAAGATTACATAAAATAATAAGCCTGTTCACCTACTTTCTCTACTAGGAACGACAGTATTCTCCACTATCTTCCTTCTGAATATCAGACCTGATTAGTATTAGCTAGTATTATTATGATTCCCATACAGTCGTTCAATATTTGCTGAGGCCAAAACTGGAAAAAAACATGACCCGTGTTCTTGGTCCTTGAGAAGCCTGTAATTTAGACAAGTAATGCACAGGAACCGCTTCGAGAAAAGGCAGGAAGAGGTAAATGCCATGTGCATGAAATACATAAAATGGGAGTTCAGATGAATACAAACTTTCACCTGGGGAACTGGTAAGAGCTTCGCAGACACGGTGGTCTGAGGATGAAGCCTGGGCGGGGGCTTGAGGCAGGCGGGCCGGGTGAGCAGACAGCAGGAGGAGGATGGGGACCACGCACGAAAGTGGTCCAACGGTGTCACGAGTTACCGAGTTACGGGGGAGCACAGGGAAGGCTGGGAAAGCACCGCCACGGACACTCTTCGTTACGTATTAGCTGCCACTGATACTTTTTCAATAGGCAATGGAGAGTGACTGAAAGGTTCTGGGCAGGACAGTAAGGATCACACCAAGACTTTAAGGAAATCACTTCAACGTTCACAGACAAGTCAGACTGACCAGCAGACAACCCGAGCCGGATTGGCGAGCAGCCTCTGGAGTCCGAGCCTCCTGCAGCTACTGGCCCTGTGACCCTGGGTAGATCACAGAAACTCGAGGTGCCCCCGTCCCTCATCTACAAAACGGGAGCGACAGCAAGCGCCTCAGAGAGGCTATAAAGATGTGATGAAACACACATGCTTCAAACAGCAAATGCTTAATTATCAATTGCTTAACCATCAATTATAATGAGCGTCAGCAAGACCAGGACCTTTAGGACAGCCCAGTGTGGCGATAAGGTTCAAGGTGAGCTGTCGGGGGGCGGGGACAGATGCAGAGGCTCTACAGAACGATCCGAGGATTCTGTCACGAATTGCAGCATAAAAGTACTGGGAATAAAAAAACGCAAACTAACCCCCAATTTTTATTTGAGTGACTCAGAGAACAGCGGACTCATTATACCGAGAAGTGGTAATAAAGATCTGGCTTGAAGAGAGGCCGATTTTAAGCAACATGAATTTACAGTAGGGCCTGTCAGCCTCTCAAGACTGCTGGGAGGCATGTGTGGACTCAGGGTTCGGTCAGGAGTCTCGTGCTGAGCCCTTAAAGCCACATAAACACATCCACGTGTTTACAAGCGGCCCCAGCATTACTCAAACCCAGCACCAATCAAAATGATGTTACCTGTTGTAGATGACACATACCCTCAAAACTGTGACCTCTACTTTCTAGAATACTCTGACGAACTAACCTCTATTAACAGGTAAGTGGATTTGTGTTCTATTTATTAGGAGAAACATACCTACAAAAAAAAAAAAAAAAAAAAAAAAAAAAAAAAAAGCATAACCATAATAGACTGCAGGCAAGTAGGGAGATAACTGTGGAGCAGGCAGATTTTCAGGGGTGGTCAACTCACCCCCATTCTCCCAGCCCTCATACTGAAATGAGGCATTCAAGTTTCATAGGATACTGCATTCTAGAAGGAGAAGTGGCCAGGGCTAGAAAATCTGGATACTAAGGATGAAAACTTGAGCAGATCAGTTTGTCCTATTTCCAGATCTGTGAAAGGAGGGGTGTGAACAATGCATAAGGTCGCTCCTGTCCCAGGGTAGACACTGCAGACCCCCTGCTTCCTGTTTCCGGAACAAAACCGTGTGGATCTGTCAAAGACGTGTGTAATGTGAACACACGCACCTCTGTCAAGTTCTTAACAATGTTCCCTGTGCGTCCACTTCCAACCTCGACCTTCACAACTCTCAGCCTTCCTGCTCACGTGCCTCTTTCCCGATATTGCCCATCTAAATGCACATCTAAAACACCCCCAGTGTCTCAAGCAAGGTCTTAATTCTGAATCGTCACGGGTGGCAGACTTGCAGGGTCTGAGCACTACATTCAGACACAACTAATCGAAGTATCTCGCGACACAAACAGTCTAAGAGTTTTTATGACAAACGAATTTAAGCAACACACAAGGGCGACAGCAACAAAGAAACCAACTGGACGTTAGCAAAACAAGAGGAAAAACCAGAGAGGAAATATTCACCTTCTCTTTGTCTAGGTGGATTCCGCTGATTTCAAAATCAAACATAAACAGTTCAGCCACTCGCCTATAAACAAAACGAACCCAGGTTACAATGGGTAACAATAATTATTCACATAATCACTTTCTTGGTAAATAAATTGTACTTTTCAACCATACTCTGCAAAAGTCAGATGTATCAACACACACACACACACACACACACACGCGCGCGCATGCACTTTAAAACCAGGAGCTTAACATCTTAGAAGTCGGTCCAAACATCTAGCTGATGGACTGGGCTTTTAAGCTCTCCGATGGGTGATTTAGTATCATATACGTCATGCTAACTGTACGATAAGTCTTAAACTGACAATTTAACTGACAAAGGAATGACAATTTCTCCAATGAGGCCAATTTATCTGCCGTGGTTTTTTTTGTTTGTTTGTTTGTTTTTTCTGGAAAAGATGGCCATCTTTTTGACTGTCCACCGTCTTTCCTTCAAAAAAAAACTTGCTGCATACTTTATGCAACCCACCAAATAAGCACTTGCGGGCTGTACACGTGCTAAGTGCAAGTAGGTAAAACTCGATAATCCAGCATGTATATTTAACGGAACTACAGAGTATCCTAGACTGCTTGTGGGTAAAGACGTGTGTGTTCCACAAGGCCCGGGTCCCAAAAGGAAACCGATACTTTTTGAATGAATGAACACAAGGTTAAAGATACAAATGTCCTAACAAGGATACAAATGAAGAATTTGGGAACTTCAAAGAGAGACCATCAGAAACATCCTTCCACAGGTCAGCACTATGTGAACCATCACCCTTTATTCCTGCATCGCTGTTAAAAGGCAGGTTCCTTACTTATGCGCTCCCATCCACCTAGCGCTATATCTGCTAAGACTTGTGATGGAAGGTTCCCTCACCATTTCCAGAATTCATACTAGCATGCACCGTAGAAAGCAACATCTTTTTTCTTCACATTTTTTTTAATATAATTCATCATCAAGTTGGCTAACATACAGCGCATACAGCGTGCTTTTGGTTTTGGGGGTGGATTCCCATGATTCATCGCTTACATACAACACCCAGTGAGAGTAAGATGATTATTAAAAATCATCAAATGCATCTGCAGACTTAAAAACATGCCCTAATTTTCCCCACCTTTCCTTGATGTAACAATTTCATCAGGACACTAAAAAGAACCGGAAACAATGGAGCAGAAAGTATCTTGAACAACATCTAAAGGAAGGGGTACCTTTTCATTAATTTTCTCCTGTAATATTTTATGCTTAGAAGTCCATCTCTCCCTTTTTAGTTCTCAGCTAACTTGATGTTGTTTACTTTCCCGTTAGATACCGAAGGAACCCAAATACTGAATTCATACATGTGCTAATTGAGAGAAAATTTGGCGAGCTATGGAAACAGGACGACTACACACAGCTCTTCAAATCTACTTCAGTGGAAAACACGGTCCCTGATGGCCGGGAGATAAGGATCTAATTCCACTCGTAAGTAAATCTGACCGGTAGACACGTGATCAGGGGATCAAGAAACGAGAGCGTATCTGAAAGCACTTCTGCCAGTATCAGTAACCTGTAAGCAACAAATAATGCACGTCACTTCTCTATTAGCATGGGAAAATTACTCCTTAAGTGGTAGCTATTTATTTGGGTGGTGACGGGGAGGAGGACCAGAAGTGAGGCAATCACCCGAATTAACCCCTTCTTCCCTACACCACCAGCCTAGGCCAGGCTGCTGTAACCCTTGCCAGCCCTCCGGCCCTCCAGGACGACCTCTGTCAAGGTCAGCAGTCATTAGTGTGATTAAACCGGCATCCCATGAATCACCCTATCCTCTGCTGCGAGGCCTCTGCAGGCTGTCCCCCACTACCAAGCAAATCAGGTTCCTCTGCTGTAGGCTCCGGAGGCATTTGTGATTTCCACTCAACAACCTTAATCCAAAAAAAAAAAAAAAAAAAAAAAAAAAAAAAAAAAAAAAAAATCGTTGGGAGAACACAGAATCTTTGCAAAAGGTTATGTTGGAGCCACGTGAGGGAGTCATGGATGCTTAAATATAATAAGCAGAGAGAACGAAACACAGCGGCAACCAGTGTTTTAAGAAGTCAATACATGTATTACAGAGCGTGAAAAATAGTTACGATTAGCTTTACATGTAGAAGCCTGTTCCTTATTCATAGACTACAAACCTGTGAACGCCACCATGATAATTACTTATTTATTTCAACTCCTTCCAAACCCCAATAATTAAAAACATGAAACAGAGTACACTTGGACAATTTTTCAAAGGCCTTGTGCACGAGGTTTTCAGTTTTTCTTCCAACTGGTAGCAGCCACTTGAACATTAAATTCTTTGATGCTGTGCCGGAAGCGGGGTTTCTTGGCTGATGGGACTTGTTTTCTTTTCTCTTTAATGCTGCTGCACGCTTGGAACCAATTTCAAGTGTAACACCTCTTTCTGTCAATAGTAATTTTTTTAACTATTTTTTTTCGGGAATTAAGTTATCCAAATATTTGATCTACTCTCCTGGCTTTCCCTGACTCTTTAGAAAGGGTCTACTTATCTTCCTGATTATTGCCCACTATACTTTGAATGGACAGAATTAACGTTCTTCTAAAAATTCTGAAAATTCAACAGACCACATTAATAATTTAGTCACTCACCTTCTTTCTTAAATAATGTTAAGGGCTTCACTCGAGCCCCTAAAATATCCCCATTATCTCTATCTCACGGTGATCTCCCTTCCTGAACAGTCAACCTGAAAAACATTCCACTTTATCTTTTCTAGCAAAGGTATTTTCTGTTTGTTTTTATAAGACAAAAAAAGCAAAAAAAAAGATAACGGGGGTTGGTAAATAGGGATGGAAATTTATTGTATAATGTAAGTTTATTACATTATATAATGTAGGTTTATTGTATAACAGCTTTACTGTAGAAATGTAGGAAAAAATTAAAATCGCTAATCTCAGCAAAGACAACCACTATTAAAGTTCTTATATTTCCCTCCAATCTATTTATGTTTTTAAGACGACGTGAAACTAACTACGATAAGGTTAGAGAAATTAGCACATAGTAGGTACTGGAAAAATGTTTGCTGAGTTTCCGAACGGACGTAAAGGGCACCGAATTCCTCACACTGGAACATCGCTCGCCCTGGCTGTTGGGCTGGGTGAGCCAGTGGGGGACACCCAACGGGATGTCCGTCCCGAAATGCACAGGCAGAGGCAGTATCTTTGGTCTCGTGAAGACACTGTCTCAGTGACAACGAACGTGTGGCTAACACCAACAAGAGAAGACCTTCCCTTGGCTTCTATCCAGTTTACTCTCGGTTTATTACACTCCTTGTTTTGAGTAAGTGGGGGCCAACTAACATGGACGTTTGTATCCTGCTTTTTCTTGTGAAATTGTACCACACACACTGAACATTTCTTTAAATGCCATCAAAACCATGGCTTTTAACGTTCGTAACATTTGGTCCCACAAACTAAAAATATTTTCATTTTTCCCACTCTGCAATCTATGCTATGATAAAATTCCTTGCCACATAAATCTCTTTATCCTTTTCTTTATGATACCTTCCAAGAAACTGAGCAAAAAGGGATCCTCCATAACTATTTATCAACTGACACCTAACTAGAGGGGACCCATTATCCCAAACCATTAAAACACTATTCTTACTCTGTTTCTATTCTGTTAAGTGACGGGCTCTCTATCTTTCTTTAAGGATGGAAGGGTCTCATTCTTTGAATGGCTACTATGGGCAAGACACTGGCAAAGCATTTTACTTTCATTATTTCATTTAAACTTCATATGGGGCGCCTGGGTGGCTCAGTCGGTTGAGCGTCCGACTTCGGCTCAGGTCACGATCTCACAGTTCTTGAGTTCGAGCCCCGCGTCGGGCTCTGCGCTGACAGCTCAGAGCCTGGAGCCTGTTTCGGATACTCTCTCTCTCTCTCTCTCTCTCTGCCCCTCCCCCCAACATGCTCGCTCTCTCTCTCTCAAAAATAAAGTATTAAAAAATTTAAAAGTAGAAACATAAAAAATAACATAAAAATCCCGTTGGCATTTTTAGGAACATCTAGAAATGCGGTATGCATCCTGTCGGAACAAGTCCTTTGTACCTAAAATGGTCCGCTATTCCGCTACAATTTTTATACATTAAATACAGAAAAGTCGATCTTTAGCAAAATCAGATAATAACCTGTGGTCGCTACTCACTCAACACCAGCTGAGTATAAATGCAGCACAATGAGCAGGCATTCAGCCTCTCCTCGTTTTGCTAATGAAGACAGTATCAGGCTCAAGCCTAAAATCAGAGTGAAGACAAACCAGTCTGATGACACCACCAGCTTTCCCAGTATCCTCAGCACAAGAATTGACGAAGTGAAATAAGGTCAAACAAGTATCTGCATACTAGGAATTCGGGGGAAATTAATGCCCCAAAGACAGCCTCATTGTGCAATTCGTATGGCACGGTACTCATACATCAGATAAATAACAAAACCCCATTATCGACGGATCCCTGCAGAGCAGGGCTTCGTGGGGGCTCAGAAGCCCTGTGTGGAGACAGAAAGGAGAGAAGGAAGCAGCAGGAGGAGAGAGAATCGGAGAGTGAAAAGAAGTAAACAACACAAACAGGTAAGAAAACGTATACCCTCTGAGCCACGAGATGAGTAATATATAGATGGCTTAATGACAAAGTTATAAAATTATTAATACGTACATAAATGTGCACAAAGAAACATGGTATCCAAGATCCTGTATCAAATATTTTGGAGGACTGACCTAGAAATGTAGCTTTTTCAGTTCGGAATAATGAAGGTCATCTAAGGAACCAAAGGAAATCATTTCAAGGATCTTGACATCCCACCAGTCAATAAAATCAACTGGTTTCTATCTTCCGGTGGTATCGATGATGGAACTTCACGCATGAAGCAAAGTGTAATTCCCAACTGTTTAGAGGAATTCATTCCTTTGGTAAGCACCTACTACAGGCCAGGAACTGCTCTAGGAGCCGGGATTCAGCTCTGAACAAAACAGACCAGTTCCCTGCCCTCCCGGAGTTCCCCATCTAGGGTGGCGGAGAGACGTAAACAAATGAGCAAACAGAAATGCTGGAAAAGGTCAGGACTAAGAAGAGAACACAAGCAGGGTAAGAGGACAGGGCATGACCTGGTACAGAGGAGGAGGAGTGAAGGCCTAAAGAAAGTGCAGGAGTCGTGCAGACTCCGGGAAGAAATGTTCCAGACAGAGGGGGCTGCGAGTGCGGGGACGCGGTGGGGGTGGGGGAGCCATCCGCTGGCCTCTGTGGTCACAACCATAAGGAACGCAAAGCAGTCAGTACCTGGTTTCTGGATCAAGGGAATCCACAAGTTTTTTGTCAGCCAGCAATTTTTGCAGACTTCGATATAATTCCACATTTGTGTTCAACCTAGAAAAATTACAGATGGAAAAAAAACCAATTAAATGACTTTCTCATACCTTGTTTTTAGCGTTAC